ATTTCAAATATATAAGTTTACTTTTTCCATGTCAAACCTCATTTGCCTATCAATCAGTGTTAATTTGCAAATCAGAGCCAGCTACCATAGGTACTACACTAAATGTTTTTGTTATCTGCAAATCTCTATATAATTTCTAAACAAGCTGAAAAGTAATGGCCCCAAGACTAAAGCTTGATTACAAACCTTATAACATTAGACCATTCAGAGAATTAATCATTGATCACAACTCACTGGATTCAGTCTTTCATTTACATAATTTATTTTCCAAATCAATACATTTCAATTTGCACACTAGGTATCTCAGAGGAACTGTGCTAAAAGCTTAAGCAAATTTCAGATATACTAAATCTATGGCCACCCCTCTGACAACAACTTCTTTGTAAAAAGAAAGTACATTTGTTAACACTATCGGTCTATAGCTTGTCAAACACATAAAAATTTCACTGTACAATCACCTTTATACTTGATCAATGATCGTGTGGTGCTGGAGCTTGCCTGACTGGATACAAATTGAATGGATAGTTTAGGTAGATTCTCATATTAAAAAGCTTTGTTAAATCTAAAATTGATTATTCAGAAATTGTTACGTTTAGATTGTAACCTGTACGGTGAACTTGTCATAAATCCATGCTGCCTAACGCTTTATTTTGTAGCAGGTTTATGGTATTTTTGTCATGACTTCAGAACGTATCATTTTTTCTATGTATCTTAGTATATTTCCTTTATTTTTGTAAATATGCAGGACATAAATGAAAAATGCTCAGGTAAATATGAAATACTGTATGAGTATTTCTCATTTCTAGACAGTAGTTGGGACTTTACGTTCTACGCTATTAGTGTTGAAAAAAAACTATTGATTCTTTTACTTATAGTGAACTGGAAGAAAACTTTTTTTTTTTTAAATAAACCTCATGTTCTTTGCACCAATCCACTGATACCTAACAGTCAACAAATGTCCCAAAAAATTAGAGAAAATGTCTTAGAAATAACTGACCTCAACTCTTTGAATACATGTCACTGTAACCCACTGGTTTCTAAACTACGAACCAGGGGCAAGATTTGGCCCTTTGCTTGCTTCTATCTGGCCCTTGGGACACTATTCCACCAACGGACACCAATGATGAGGTAGCATTTCTCCCACTGACACCATTGATGGAGCACTATTCCTCCCACCAAAAAGCCTATGAAGCACTGTCAAATTTGCTCCAGTGGGGTGAAAAAATTCCTTCCTGATCCCCCAGGATCAGATATTCCCTGGATTAACAATCTTTGGTGTTATTACCTGTCAATATTAATATTCAGTTACCCTTTTGTGCATTTAGGAATGCATCCAGCTCTTTTTTTTAAAAAAAAAATCTACTCAGCTGGCCAGAACTAGTTCTTGATTTCACATTTTCACAGCTCTTACTGTGAAGACGCCTTTTCGTATGGAGGTTAAATCTCTTTCCCTCCAGACGTAAAGAGTGCTGCCTTGTCCTCTCTAATGCATTTAATGTTAAGAACTTTACATCATGTTCACTAAATGGACCACCTACAGTATACAGTATAATTAGATATGGTTATTATACCCCCCAAAATGCCTCTTCTCAAGACAAAATACATTTAGTTTAGCTAATCTTTCCCCATCTCGATGCCTCTTATCAGTTTGGTTGTCCTTCTCTGCACGTTCTCCATTTCTCCAATATCCTTTTTGTGAACTGGTGCCCAAAATTCCAGATGAGGTGTTATTACTGCTTTCTACAGAGGCAAAATTGTGTGTCACTCTGGAGTCTATACCTTTTTTATACTAGAAAGTATTTTGCTAGCTTTAGAAACTACAGCTTGGCATTGCATGCTGTTATTAAAGCGGTAGTAAACCGCACCTAAAAGAGAAAAAAAAATCCCCTGCAAGGTAACGTCATACTAGCACAATTTGAAGGACTTGCCTTAAAACAAAGCCATCTAGTGGCTGCTGTCACAGCTGCAGAGGCTTCCATCTTCACCTGGTCTTCCCTCCGGGTTCACAAGCTCTGGCTGTCTGACGGGCAAAGCCACGATGATGTCACTCCCACGCATGCTCGTAGGAGTCTCGGGCCACAGCACGGTGCTCTGAAGGAACGGCACAGGTATACCTGTTCCTGCAGAGCGCATGTGCCAACTGTCAAAAAGAGCAAATATCTCCCAAATGGTGCACATTTAGGAGATATTCATTTTACCTACAGGTAAGCTTTATTATAAGCTTACCTGTAGGGAAAAGTATACAAAAAAAAGAGTTTACTATCACTTTAAGGATGTGATCTAGCAGAGCACCCAGATTCTTCTTTACCACTGACTCCTACAGTGGATCTCTTAGAATGTATTATGCATGCATGTTTTTAGCCACCAAGGGCATAACTTTACATTTATCAACATTAAACCTCATTCGCCACATAGTTGCCCAATTATCATATATACAGTTTTAGGCAGGTGTGAAAAAATGCTGTAGACTAAGAATGATTTCAGAAATGGGAGTGAATAGTTTATTTTTATTAATTAACCACTTCTAGTCCAGCAACATACCAGTTATGTTGCTGGATTGGAAGTGTGATACCTTGGTCATTGCTGCACAGGCGGTGGAAGGGGGTCCAACTTCCCTCTCACCGCTGTTGCCTTAAGGATGCCGTAAGGATTCCACCGGTGGCATCAGCTTCCCTAAACACAGTGCCAGGAACTGATCTTATTTCTTCCTCTGTGTGACATCAGAAACTGGAAACAAAGAGGATTTTGTCACTTCCGTTTTCAGTTTCTTTGTTTATAAGCCATTGCTGGCTTGTGTAGCAGAACATCAAACCGATATGGCCACAAACTGCCTCCTGCTACAGCCAGATTTTTAAAATTTTGATCCATCAGTGCAGAGCACCTGCTGCCACTTTTATGTATCCCAAGTTACTAGATTTTTGTGCATAGTTGAGTCGCTTAGCCTTGTTTCCACATCCTATGGACGAAAACATAGGAACTGGGTGCAGAAAATTGGCAGCAGGTGCTTTCTACTGGAGTCAAAAATGTAAATATTTCCTGTAGTTTGAGCCAGTTTGTTTGCAAAGGGCTGGAGAGCGGTACAATAATGACTGTCTGCAGACAACAGTAAGGCATGGTGGAGGTTCCTTGCAAGTTTGTAGCTGCATTACTGCAAATGGAGTTGAAGATTTGGGCAGGATCAATGGTGTCCTCAATGCCCCCACTTTGTTATGAAAAATACAAAGTATAACTCATCTGGATACACTAAGCAGGTGCGATGATATGTACAGTTTTTCTAACATATGTCAAAGTTGCAAAACTATGTTCAGGCATTAGGATTTGCTTTACCCTCATCATAAAGGGGTTAAGCTGGATCATAGACAGTTAGCTTTGTTTTTATTCAGCCTCTGGGCTGAACAAAAAAAATATTATAGTCTCCTCCATCCACACAAAATACAGTGTATGGAAGAATCCCTCCCTATCAACGATTGACTTCTGCCGAGCAGAAATGGCCAAACACTGACTGAAATTAAGCTGGTGCTTGCTGAAGGGGTCGAATTTTAATCATTGTGTGGCCAGCTTTACTGTGATGTTGTGCATCTTCTGCTGAAGTTTCCAATTTACACTCTTTTTTGGGAAGGTCATTTTACAAGACATGTTGTAAAAAGCCTTTCTTCCTTCATTTAAAAAATAAGGTCATTAATATTTGAACTTCATTCTGCCAGACATTTCAAATATTACAGATGAAACAAATGTGAAACCACATTCATTGTACACTGTTCTCTTTGTGACTCATACTGCTCTGTCCTGATCATGACTCCTACATTTCATCTAGAAATCAGCTAAATTAACTATGCAACAGTCACAGAATATGAACATTGTATGCGGACGCCTGGTGACAGCGTTTCTCAACCTAGCCTTAAGTCAAGGTTAAACAACGACTTATAGGGACCATGGTGCAGAGAAGTTCACCTCAATTTTGAATGATACACACACTACATTTTTGAAGGTATGGGAACCATGGATTGCGCATATTGACAATTTGAACCTGGACCGCTCCTTACATTCGACTTGATAAATTTCATGCAGCTTTTAGCTGCGCACATGTGGGTGTATCCTGTAGGATTCCCTCAACTTCCCTCTCCTCCTTTTCCCCAATCCCCTTCTTCCTTCATTTCTCTTTATGCTCTGTTCTCCTCTTTAATTTTGGGTCTCTCTGGCTTGATAAGTGGCACTTAGGTCATCTCCTCCTGTAGGTTGTGGGTTGTACTAGTCAATATGAGGTGCAGGCATCCGCAGTAGGGCTGTTCCCTTGGCATTTGCATGCCCACAATCTGGCTATATCCACTCTATAAGATGTTATGACATTGGCTTCTCTGTTTTGATTTTGCCTTCGATATATATTTGGCCTAGTTGTCCACTCTTTTTTCACTTCCTACAGCTTTTTGCACTGTTGTCTTGTGCTGTATACAAAAAACTGAAAAACCTTAACCTCCCTAGCTGTCTTATTATGTCCATATTTCTGTGCTCAAAGCGGTACATTTTTTTGCATGGAAATATGTCTTTTTTTTATTGTAGGCCTGTAATTTGTAGGAATAACTCACTGAAATCTGTCCAAACAAGAGTCTAGTAAACATCCCGGGTATGTTACAATTTGAAACACGAAATCATAAATTACAATTTAATAAATAATCATAAAAAATAATAATATAATAATAATACATTTAATTCAATAATATAATCAAACCAAAACACTGAAATTTGAAATATAAGGAAGGTTCGCACATCACTGACCAAAGTCGCAAAATTGTTTTCAGTGTCTGATGAAGAATTTCCCCACGAATCATTATCACTCAATTCTGCAAGTGGTTCTAATTTACTATCGCTGTTTCTCTAGCTGGTCTAAAACCGATTTTGACCTAAAGGGGACACTTTTTGGATGCCATGGACTTTTCTCAGTTTCCAGGCAGAAAGAACAGGAAAAATGCAGGCAGGGCACAGGACAAAGCACTAGGGACAAAATGTACGTGAAATGCTTTGATACAGTAATGTTTTACTATGTGATTTTAGTGTATTTAGTGAATGTCACTTTTTGTCATTTTCAAATTTCCCGCCAGTTCCGTCCCCTGTACGTCCCGACGCTCGCAGGGGACAGAACCCAGATGACAGATGCCGGCAGCCGTCAGAGGACATTGCCGGCGACACTGCAGGAGGGACATCGCAGGAGCGCAGGACAAGGTAAGTGACCGGGGGATCCCGGAGCAGCGCCGCATGGTAAGCCCGAGTATAGCTCGGGGCTACCGCTTTTGGTGCTGAAACTTTACCCCGAGCTACACTCGGGAATACTGCCAGGGAGGTTAATAAACATTTGCAGGTTATTTCTAATATTATTAATAGTGATATAACATAGTCAAACCTCTCCCACTCTGTTCCTATCTGCCGCCACTTTATCATTAATCCCTTCCACTGACACCACCAATGATGGAGCATTTTTTACACCACCACTGGTAGCCCAATTTTTTGCAGCAGCGCACTATGTACTCCCCTAGCAAATCCTGCTACTAAGCCACAACCATTCCCTCTATTTTGACACGTAACATGTACTACAAATAATACCACCATTTCATTAGCCCCCTTTCCCGCTCTCATGCTCAATGACTTCTAAAACTTCCTGGTATGATAATCAGTGATACAAAGAGAATATAAAAATGGCAGACTAAACATCAGTTCTTAGTAATGAGCTCAAAGCAACCTATTAACCCTTTAGTCATGCCCAAATGATTAAGACTGAATGGGTAAAACAATTTTGAGGAGGCATGCAAGATGTACTGTTTGTACAATAAAGCTTGGTGAAGGAATTTATATTACCAGTGTGGCAATCCTTTGTTCTTTAAATACTGTGAGTCTTGTTAGCCTTTAATATCAAACTGGAAGGATACTTGGGAAGGCACATGAGCCATTCCACAATGGTTTATTGTACAACATAAAAAGGTATTTTTATGCATGACCGATTGAAGTTTACTTACTTGCTATATTTATCATCATATTTACAGATATAGCTGAGATGAGCAGCAAATGCTTCTACTGCCAGGGGACAAGGAATCTCCCCACTTTTCCTTTTTATAATAACTCCTGTAAAGAGAAAGGAAGATAATGATAAAAATAATGGACATTGTAGTAAAGGTGAACAAGGAAAGAAAAACTACTCTAAGGTAAAGACTTTTCAGGGTTTTCAGTCACCTGACAGCCAAACAGACTCTCTGCAAGTTTAGCACACAGTGATAAAAGGTGTTGCAATTTTTATTCTAGTGAGAGAAATCACCCTAAAAATGTCCCAATTTACACATTGTATCACCTTGTCAAAAGCAAATTGTCACAAAAGCAACTGAACTTTTGCAGCTTTTTGGGGTCTCTGTTGTCTTTGGCAATGTTATTCAATCTACAAGTTGCTGTTTTATTCAAAGTTTTGAAGTGGTGTTACAGTGACAATGTTTTTTAGATTGGACCTGCAATGATTATATGTGACAAAGTCAGTTGGTTGACTTAATCTGTGTGTAGAATATTGGTTTTGCAAGATGTGCAACTTACACATGATGCAAGTGAGTGGTGTGCAGTAGAGTGGTTCTGCAATGTGTATGTGGTTAGAACAGAAAATTGTTGTGGGTTGGAGGTTCTGAAGTGTGGAGGTGGGTCACATAGGGCAAGTTGGTAGTGGGGTAGCTTACAGACTTTCAAATAGCATGGATCACAGATCTGTAGTTTTGCTACTTTGGTAGCTTGCAGTTGTGTTGGTTGGTGGCTCCTAAATTAATACTGAAGTTTAGTGCCATTTTTTTTTACCAGCACCAGGGATGCTACTTACCAGAAATGAAGTGTGTCTCGTGCTGGTTTCTGCTGTTTATAGTAGAAATCATTAGTCTTCTTCCCTTGAATACTCCACAGCTGTGATCCTCCAGCTGTGGAAAGAGGCAAGTCCTCGAAACTCGTCAGCCTATTGAATGTCTACACTCCCTATTACGGACTGTTACTCAGCACGGTGTTGACCCAGCTGTTCTTTATGATGTGCCTTGACTATATTGTCATTTGTGAGTACAACACCTACTTTATTATTTATTATTTTTATTAAACATTTTTTATGGTAATGCACTAGGCCTGTGCGCCCTCTGTTTGTTCTTTCCTTATTCAGTATATTTGGATTCCCCCGGTCTATTTGAGGGCAGCAAGGTGTGCATGTTCCAGGACATTCTTAATGTGGTTGTAGCCTGCATCGAGTCCATCCCCAAGCGCAGGAGCATTTGTGTTTGCTGACTCTTTGTGATAGATTGCCACCTGTGCAATACATTCACCCATGAAATTTCCTTGCTACTTCCACGGTCAACTGTTAGTGGTGATATAGCAAAGGGGAAGCAACTGGGAGCAACAGCAACTCAGCCACTAAGTGGTAGGCCACGTAAAATGACAGAGCGTGATCAGCACATGCTGAAGTGCACAGTGTGCAGAAGTCACCAACAGTCTGCAGAGTCAATAGTTAAAGACCTTCAAACCTGGTGCGGCCTTCAGATTTGTACAACAGTGCGTAGAGAGCTTCATGGAGCTGCATCCAAGCCTTACATCACCAAGTGCAATGCAAAGCGTAGGATGCAGTGGTGTAACGCACATTGCCACTGGACTCTTGAGCAGTGGAGATGTGTTCTCTGGAGTGACAAATCAAGTTGCTCTGTCTGGCAATCCGATGGACGTGTCTGGGTTTGGCCAGGAGAACGGTACTTGCCTGACTGCATTGTGCCAAGTGTAAAGTTTGGGGGGGGATTATGGTGTGGGGTTATTTTTCAGGGGTTGGGCTTGGCCCCTTAATTTCCAGGGCTGGGAACTCCTAAGGCGTCAGCATACCAAGACATTTTGGACAATTTCATGCTCTCAACTTTGTGGGAACAGTTTGGGGATGACTCCTTCCTGTTCCAACATGACTGCGCACCAGTGCACAAATCAAGGTCGATAAAGACATGAATGAGTGAATTTGGGGTGGAGAAACTTGACTGGCCTGCACAGAGTCCTGACCTCAACCTGATAGAACACCTTTGGGATGAATTAGAGTGGAGACTGCAAGCGAGGCCTTCTTTTCCGACATCAGTGCCTGAGCTGACAAATGCGCTTCTGGAAGAATGGTCAAACATTACCATAGACACTCTCCTAAACCTTGTGGACAGCCTTCCCAGAAGAAAGGAAGCTGTTATAGTTGCAAAGGGTGGGCCAACTCAATATTGAACCCTAGGGACTAAGACTGGAATGCCATTAAAGTTCATGTGGTGTATGTAGGTTTTGTGCTGCCCTAGGCAACACAAAAATTGTGCGCCCCCCCCAATGAGAGAGTGAGAGAGTTCAATGTGTGTGTGTATATGATTCTCTCCCTCTCTCTCTCTTACCCCTCGCTTTCCTCTTGCCTCTCTCTCTTCCTCTTGCCTCTCTCTCTCACCCTCTTGCCTCTCTCTCTCTCTCCCTCTTGCCTCTCTCTCTGCCCCCTACTAGCACATAATCCCCCCCCCCTATTCCTCCTAGCAAATGCCACCCCCTGTTCCCAAAATACCCATTACACTTCCTAGAAAAAGTGGAGAGGAAAGAGCCAGGAGGAGGTGAGCTGTGTTGTGTTCTCTGGGCTCTCCCTATCTGTCGACCATGCAGCACATGAGACAGGATCACTGATAGATATTATGGGACTGTCCACGCGCGCACACACATACATAGTATGATTAACGCCCCCTACCCACATTTCCTGCTTCTTGGAGATGAGCAGCCCTTGGAGAAGGTAGGGGGTGGTAATCATAGTGGGTGTGTGTGTGTGTACAGTCCCATACGATCTGTTAGTGATCATGTCTTATGAGCTGCATGGACGAGCATTGTTCTGAAAGGAGGGAGAGCCCGGAGAGCAAAACACAGCTCACCTCCTCTCGGCTCTTTCCTCTCCACCACTTCTCCTCTCCCTGCTCCAGGCTTTCCCCTGGTCCAAGCTCTGAGTGCAGGTGGGCGGAAGGAGCTCAGTGGCCACTCAGGAACACAAGGGCACCCTCTCAATCCGGCCAGGTCTGCCTCTCCCTCCAGCAGCAGAAAGCCTGCAGGAGGGAGAGGGGGAGAGACCAGCTTTCAGCTGCTGAAGGGAGATATACACAGGGCATCATTCTGCAACTTCCCTCCCCCACCACACCGATCTTCCTGCAGACAGCAGTTCTGGGGGTACCCCTCAGATGGCGGTCCTGCATGACTCAGTCCGCTACTGCTCACCAGGTCCCTTCTTCCAGGGGGCGGTGCTACCCCCCTAAATATTTCCACCCTAGGCAAACGTCTTGTTTGCCTCGAGGTAAATACACCGCTGCAGACGCCCCAATACTTTTGGCAATATAGTGTATATTCAGTTGGATTTTTAGGTTTGTGAAAATGTGATTTTCACAATTCGAATAATGTCACAGCTGAAGCCAAACATTACATGACAGAAGACATGTTAGTCATGATACAGAAAATTCATCGGTTACACCGCTAGTCATCTGGGCTCCTAGTGAAAAGCATGGTGTAGCACTGGGTCCAAAATTACTGATAAAAGTACAAAAAGAGATGGAAACATGGGAACAAAAACAAAATTGGAAGATGTGTTTGGAGGTACTTCAAGTATCACTAAAAGGCATACATTTTTGTTTTGCTTTAGACAGAGTGGAGAAAGATTAGAACACTTGTCATGTTTTTACTGCTGTCTGTGTCCCCTAAGAAAAACTCACTCTCTCTATTTGTCATGCTTTCCATTGTTATTGAAAGTGAAAGTAAAACAAAATCTCAAGTTTTGGCTTTTCCCTAGAACAGTAATATAGGGGAACTCTTCCAATAGGGTTCTAGTGACCCTGGTGACAACCAGGGACTCCTTCACTTCGGAGGAATTTTGTCTCTTTTCCTCTTTTTGCCAAATTTCTTATTTTCTACCCTATTTCCCAAATAGGACACAGACAGCAAAAAACTGACAGGCATTATAATCCTCTCTTATCTGTCCAAAATTAAGAAAAAAGGTTTTGCCTTTAGTTTTACTTTCTATTTCAGTCGTTTTTATTGAGGGTTTTTTTAAAGAAAAAGAGATGAATTACAGCAGTATGTTGCAGTACAAAAAAGAACAGAAAACACTCCATGGGGAAGATTAGCACAGAATCTGCAGGAGTACGTTCACGAGTACAGTAACACCTTTAGTTCTACTTTAAATGCCCTCTGAGATCCTGATGAGAGAATGGTCTAGTAGTGGTCAGAGAAATATAAAATTCTTGCCATAGTTTTAGTGAACTGGTAGGTTTACAGTTTACATACATCTCGAGTAGGCACCATTAAATTA